TCATCCCATCTGCTAGCCAACTATGACCAGGAGGGAGATCTTCTGAGTCAACTTGCCCAGATCAATAAGCCAAAGTGACAATTTCATATGATGCATCCCGACAGAAGGGGTTTCCACCACCCTGGAGTGATGGAACTTGTCATATTCCTTTCAGAGGGAAGGCAGGAGGTTAGAAATCAATGTCTCCCTCATGAGGGGCTCTGGGCCCTCCAGACAGATCAGGCACACAAGCCAGTTTCTAATTACATTTAAGAAATACATATCATACATATATAAACTGACATCAATATTGGAGTGGCGTTGTGGGCTGTCAAAAGGGATAAGGGCAATTCCCTCTGCGGCCCTTGACAGTTGCAGTACCTGGTGCGGAGGTGCTATGAGCAACATTATACGGCTGATTGAGTTATGACGGCTCTAACCCAACAGGGAAAGCCGGGCAGCGAGGAATAACCAGGGCAGCATACAAATGATGATAAAGTGATCCCTTTAAAGAACAATCTCCATAATATTTCATGCTCGCTGCACGGTGTAAAGGCGGCCTTGTCGGCGAGGCTAACTGCTCTATCAATTGATTTGATTCACTGCTGCAGCTACTCCCAGTCATAATATTTCAAATAAATGGCACCATGGATAGAAATAATATCTGCATCAATATTAACCCTGAAAGGACTAATGGACATGAACTATAATTTCCTGGACACCCTAATAATGCATTTTGACTACACTTGGTGTGGAAAGATTTTTCCTCCCCCCCCCTACACACACCATTCCTTCTTTCTGTTCATTCATTTATTTTCAATGTTTTGTTTACATAAAATTCTCTCTCCTTTCGTGGAATGCTACAGAGGTCCCAGTCTATTTATAAGGCCAGGAGCTTGACATTTGAGAGTTGGGGAGGGAACAGCAAGATTTGGTAAAATGTAAAGTCCCAGTCATTGGTACTAGCATTCAGTTATTGTAGAGGAAGTGAGATTTACACCAGGGAGAGCCAGATTTCAATGCTGTACTGGTAGGTCTAGGCTGAATCGACACTGTTGAAATAATGCAGTTTGACATCACTTTAACTGCCATGCTTCCATTCTGCGTAATCCTTGGATTTATAGTTTTGTGAGGCACCAGCAGAGAAAGCGAAATATCTCACAAAACTACACATTCCAGGATTCCAGAGGATGGAGCTACAGTACTTAAAGTTTAGATGCACCCCTAGATACCATTCTCCACTGAGCTGTGAACTACTGGGGAGAACTTTGTGCCCATTACTCTCTCAATCTGACTTACTTCAGAGGATAAAAAAAATACCTTTTAACTCTCCCTATCTGGCAGTAACATCCCAATTAATCCTCCATCATTCCATTTTTCAGTTGCTTTTAAAATGTCCCCATTACCCTCTCCTTCTTCCACTTTCCCCTTTTGTCCTCAGCTTACTTTAGTTGCTGCAAACTAAGTTCAAAGTGCTAAAGTCGAGCCCTGGTGATGCGGTGATTAAATGCCTGTACTGGAGCCACTCACCCACAAACCATAAGGGGCTCAGGCTCGACTCAGGCTTGCATCCTTCCAAGGTTGCTAAAATGCGTACCCAGCTTGTTGGATGCAATTAGCTTACACATTGTAAACTGCTTAAGGAATGGTTAAGTGCACTAATGAGCAGTATAGAAATGTACTTGCTATTGCTCTTGCTAAAAGTAATTTGCACTCAGTTAACACAGCAGGAGTAGAGAGAGGAGGGGAAGGGTAGAGCCTTGCCCTTCCCAGTAGACTCAGGCAAAAGCAAATTGCTGCAGCCTCTCTCAGTTTGTACTTTTTTACTCATAAATATTTTTGTTTACATGGTGACCACACTCTGGGTGGGTCCAGGTTTTCATCTGCGAAACATTAAAGGGTATGCTCTGCTCCCATCCTATTCAGTCAATATTCCCCAACCCAGGATAGGCCAATGAGGCAGTACATGGAGTGTTGCCCTCTTCTGCCAGCTACTAAGGAAACCACACATAAGCTGGGAATAATTTTGGAACAGGGACAGGAAGAAGTAAGAGTCATTCCACACTATTATGGGTATGGCAAGGCTGCTGGGCCAAACCCAGAATAGGCAACGGTCTGGCCAGGGGATGGGTGGGCAGCCGGGTGGGTAGGTAAGTGGAGGAAGAGAGAGGGAAGGAGAAAGGAAAGCCCTTTCCAAGCATCTGCACTGGATGACACAAACCACAGTGATGCCATTGCATATCATGAGAAACCATGACTCATAAGCAAAATACAATAATGCTTGGTAAGGTATGAGGCAGTAGAGAAAGAGGAAAACTGCATTACAGGTAGATAGGCAAAACCAAAGAGGCCGCAGCCCTGAGTCTGCAAGACCTGGACAAGGCTGTTGATAAGAAGGTGACTTGGAGGTCTTTCATTCATAGGGTTGCCATATGCTGAAGTCAACTTGAACGGCATTTAACAACATGTGTCTCCAGGTTTGCATTTTATCCATCTTTGTTCTACTGATGTTAATTTTTTTTTAAAAAAAAAAATATGTCATTGTCTTATCATTATATTTTTATTTGTTTTCAACCCTGTGAGGCATTTTGGAGACTTACAGAGAAGTTTAGGCTATGGGGAGGAAAGGGGCCTACACACAAACCTGAATAAATAAGTGTGATAAGGAGTAATTGCTACACCACACTGGGATCTGTAAGAAGGGAGATCCGTGCCATCGGGGATGCCATGCTGAATTTAACACTTCCATGCAGCTGGGTGTGAGCACACAGCTCCTTTCCAGGGATAATCATCAACTGGAGCAACTTAACCCTACAATGATATACAACCCCTGAGGTCGTGTTCATTTTTCAGCTTAAATACGGCTCGAGCCAAAAACCATGGACCATCATTTAAGTGAGAGCTTCTCCTTGGGCAAATGCCCTCCTTTGCAAATGGGCCAGTGCAAATGGATGGCTGACTCGGATGCTGGTGAGGGCCAAAGAGGGACATCTCCAAAGATTAATTCCTTGCCTCCCCTTTTAAAACAAGATTAAATTAGCTTGTGTTAGCGCCTGTTAGCAGATGCGCTCCTACATTATGCATGATCCTTGACTGCTCGCAGCATGGACGCGACACACTGTATGTTCCATTAGTGATTTTCAATGCTGCACTAAGCTTTAAGTCACACAAACAAGGCCCTGTATTAGGCTTACTTTGTGGATGTGTTTTCCTGGCAATTTCACAACCTACCTGATCACAGCTATCGATTGACTGTGCTTGAAATGGATGAAAAAATTACCCTGTGCAAGGGTTGCACAGTGGGATGTGGGCAGGATCCTCTTTGTATAGGAAAATCAATAGTACTCTAATGCCCAAGCCTAAAAAGACAGGGAAAAAATGACTATCCCACATGCATAGGTTCTTCCCACTCTACCATTCATAGATCCAAATACAGCTTTTTCCATAGTTCCCACTCCTTGAGCAGTGGAGAGTTCAGGGTCTTGTTTACAATTAGCCACTTTTCCTTCAAAGGAAAACCAGCATTATCTTTGTAAGAAAATTATGCTTATTTGCAAACATTACAGTTTGAAATAGATCTTGGGGAAATGACTTTTTGGACTACAACTCTGGCAATGTTGGTTGGGGGATTCTGGGAGTTACAGCATCCCAATCTTGGGCTTATAGAATTGTAGAACATTGGGGCTGGAAGGGACCTCAAGGACCACCTAGACCAACTTCTGACCTGCACAGGAGTCAACTGCTAAAACACCCCAAAGATGTGGCCATGTATCAGAACTTCTTTTTAAAAATCTCCAATGAAGGAGGGAACTGCCATGTGAGTCTACCCCTTGAATAGGGTCCAGAAGCAAGAAGATAAGGAGGGTATGGTTACTTTAAAAAATGGTGCCAGTGACCTTGAATCATCACAGCCCAACCATGGAGAAATTTAATATGAGCTGAGATCCTACACTGGGGTTGCGTATATCTCCCTATATAGAATTATGTGCAGTCGACCCTCCTGAAACCAAACTCCAGAGGATATCAAGGGCTCACTGTATGAAATGGGCTATACAGACCTTGCACTGAATGGCAAAGTTATGCAGCTGAATCAAAACAGCAAATGCACAACCAAATGCCTCACTGAATGTGTATACACACTCATGCATGATGTCTAATACGCAGGCTCATCTACGTATGGTGAGCACCCATGTAATTGGCACCACATGCATAATTCCACTTTTGCAACCTGAAACTGAATGCTGCTATCTTGCACTGGACAAAAATGTCCACTCACTTATGCAGGGGAACATGTGTTAGGCACCAACAGGATTTTGGTTGTGGTATTCTGAAGTCACCTTGCTAGAGTAAATGCCTATCAATTGGTAATAAGTTCCATGGCTCTGTGAGAACAGGGACATTCACATGGCCTTTCTTCATGCATTTGGAATATGTGTGTGTGTGTGTGTGTGTGTGATAGAGTTATACAGGCTCTCCTGTTCTTCATTCCAGCAAATGAACACTGTGGCTTTCCTTCAGAGGTTTCATACTCTAAAGTTAATCTCTTTCCCACTGTCCATAAGTGTATCTGCACTGGTTAGTAATATCAGTTTCATAACACTTTAATTCTTATGGAGCCATCCTAAAGGACTATAGGTTCTGTACTATTGCAAGACAATTAGAAGGTGCCAATGTACCCTGAGAAGAGAGAGACTGAGGATTAAACCAATTCATTTCTATAATGTAGACAAGTGTTCAAGGTACCTTGGCTACTGTAGTTCAGGGAAGTGTATTAGAGCTTTCCAGCAGAGGATTCTACATATCTCACTAAGCCACAGGTAATGTGTCTCCAGCTGTTGCAATTGTGCAATGCATTCTGATGGGGTGAGAAAAGCTGTTCAACATGTACAGAAACAAAGGTTCTTCATGTGGCAAAGGCACCAATTTGTCCAGAGCACCTCCTTACATGAAAATGCATGTATATCTCTAAATGTAGGGAACTTTTTTTTCCATTCTAAGAGTCCTATGAAGCTATGAACGAATCAGTGTGGCGTACTGGTTTGAGTGTTGGACCAGGACTCCAGGAAACCAGGGTTCAAATCCCTGCTCATGGAAATCCATTGGGTGACCTTGGGCAAGTCACAGATGCTTAGCCTCAGAGGAAGGTAATATAAACCTACTTTTGACAAATAGTGTTAAGAAAACCATGAAAAAGTTCATTTTTTAAAAAAGAGGTGATTGTGGTGGTGATGGTGGTGTACCTTCAAGTCCTTTCTAATGTCTAGCAACCCAAAGGGGCCAGCATGGTGTAGTGGTTTGAGCATTGGACTACAACTCTGGAGACCAGGGTTCAAAACCCCACTCATCCATGGAAACCCACTGAATGACCTTGGGCAAGTCACAATCTCTTCGCCTCAAGGGATGGCCATAACAAACCCTCTGTGAAGAAATTTGTCAAGAAAACCCCATGATAGGTTTGCCTTAGGGTCACCATAAGTCAGAAATTACTTGAAGCCACCCAACAACAACAAAGTGCATAAATGCAGAGCCTGAAAATGTTAAATTGTTTGCAGAATCCCACTAGCAGTGCTGGCTTGAGGTCTCTTGCAGAACTCACCAAGTGCTTCCCAGTCCCCTTGTGTGCATCCACACTCTTGAACAGATACATCATCCTTGACAAATGAGCACCTTTATTGAATGGACACAATCCAGAGGAAGTAAGGTGCCATCAAGTCCCTCAGGACTTTCATTAACCCTGTTTCACCCTAGCCAGTCCATCATCTTTGACAAGGTTTTCTAACCCAGACCTTTCTGACATGACTGCAAACCAGGAAATAGCTGTCCATTATTCTCCTTTGTCACAGGTTTTTTGTGACCCATAGCCTCTTCACTACTCATCTTCTACCTCTCTGTATGCTCTTTTTCCATCTATGTATTGTACTTTTCAGCTCATTTCTCTCTCTCTTTCCCCTGAACAATTTATCATTTTTAAAACTTCATTTTCATATATTAATCAATTTAATGTAACCTCCTCCTAGTGTTCTCCTCTGTCTGGTAAATTTCTCAGTGGCTACAAAATTGTCACTATATGCAGGGTTGAACAATGGTTCAGCTCCATCACTGTTGAAAAAATTCACAGCAATTGTGGAAGATCCCATCCATTTCCTTCTGTGGAGAAGGATAGAAAGTGTGTACAGTTGGCCTTCCACATTTGCAGCTTTGGCTTTTGCAGATTTGACTATTTATGGTTTTGGTTAATAAGTTCTCTCTCTAGGTCCTCCAGCGCAAGACTGCTAGAAGTTGAACCTAGAAGTTCCTAGAAAAAAATACTTCTCTAGGCATTTGTAGGTCCTCAGTATGATTCTATGATCAACTTCTGGAGAGGTGTTCCCATAGGTAAAAAAAATTATTATTATTATTTGTGGTTTTTCCATATCCACGGGGGTTCTTCACCCCTAACCCCAGCGAATGTGGATGGATTGTTTTATATCACATTCTCCAGCTGTTCCAATTTTGCAGAAAAGTTCTGCTTAATCCTCTGCCATCCCACTTTTTAGCTGATTTTAAAATGTGCCAATTTTTCCTCTCTTTTTCTCACTTTTCCCCTTTGCTACAGCCTTCCCTAGCTTGTGTGTTCTTCTTTACTGATAACCTTTTGGCCAAGATTCAAGGAGATTGGCTTACCATAAGGACATTGCTTGGCCCCATGTATCCAAGTTTTCATCTGTTTTCATCACCATAAGTATATGGGCTAACAAGAAATGATAAACACTTTAGTTGGTTCAGTCTTCTACATGATCATGAACTGGGCCTTCTAGAGAGAGCATCACCCCTTGGTCTAATAGTGAACACAGTGCTTGTGTTGATACCAATGTGGCACTGAGAAACAAGAAGACATTTTCATCCAGAAAATATGTTAATCAAAAGTTACTCTCTTATAATGGAAGACATGTAGCAATGTGAACTTTCTTTGCCTCCTTCTATGGAACAGCCCTCCAGATTTTGAAGAATGCTAAGAAGAGTTTGTGTCTCCCCCAGGAAGTATCTACACTGTAGAAGTAATGCAGTTTGACATCACTTTAACTTCCATGGCTCCATCCTTTGGAATCCTAGATTTACAGTTTTGTGAAGCACCATCACTCTTTGGTAGAGACTGCTAAAGACCTTGTTAAACTATAAATCCCAGGGTTCCATAGGATGGAGCTACAGCACTTAAAGTGGTGTCAAACAGCGTTATTTCTACAGTGCAAATGCACTCTCGGTCTTCTTTCCTTCTGAACAGCCAAACACATTTGCTATAGTCGTTTGTCAAAGAATGTCACGTACCCCTCACATCCCAAGACTCTTTATCTCTAGCCCTAATATAAAAGTTACATTGTGTACTACAGCTTCCAGAATCCTCCCAGATGTTCCAAGTGCCACTTTGAGTCTAATGATAGGTTATATTCCTTATGACTAGTAGACTTCCGGAGCAAAGCTCACAAAAATTACTTTTGGGGGCTATAATTGGCTGGTTAATTTGGAGTTTGGAGTTCCAAAAAGTAACCTTCCCCCCCCCAAGCTCTGCCTCTGACAAATCATTTTTAATTGGCAATGAATGAATTTATTGATTCTTCACACTGTTTACCTGATGAGCACCCGATAGGGGGTCTTTTCTTTTAGGGAAAACATGTCATGGTCTGATTCTCGCCAGTGCCAAACACGAATGAAATGAGACTTGCAAAATGAATCCCTTTTTGCTCTCTGGATGAATTGAAAGCTTCTCGCCACAGTGTGATCAGCCTGGGTGGCAAGGTCAATGGGACAAGAGATGAGGTTGAATATATCTTTCTGCTACTGACACATACGGTCAAAGCTAAAGCAGAAGCCCTGCCAAACCCCAGCATGATGGCAAGAACGCTGCGAGAGAATAGCAGCTAGGAGAGGAAATGTTTGCTCCTCTTTTGATTTTCCAAAAAGAGACACGTACAGTTCTTACAAAGCATGCAGAAGCAGCTTTCAGATTTTCAGAGAAAGCAAATCCTTGGGAGGTCAAAGGCTACATCTCAACATTGGAGGTAAATAAAAAGAAAAAAGAAACCCTCAACTTTCAGAACTGTGGGCTGGATATGAAAGAAAAGATCTTTTTTTTTTGGTGAAAGGGAGGCATCCTAATATTTGTTGGCACATTAGCATTTGCTGGGGCACTAGAACTACAATTGTCAGTCAGCGAATCAGTCACATTATCGCTCAATAAATTTGAGAGTGCAGAATTATTTATTGGCAAATTAAAGATGGCAGAATCATGGGCTGGGAAGGAAAGGACTATAGCAATTGGTTAGCAAATGAGAGAGATCTGTTTTTGTCTTCTGATAAATCACGGTTGTCTGGTTGTTATGGGAGGCCAAATTAGAGATGGGCATGTTATTTATGGGTATGCGGGAGAAAGGTGTACTGTTGATGCTCAGGTTCTAGACAATGACACATTGGAAGGTAAGGCTAATGTCCATAATGGGTTGTAGTTGTATCCTTTGCAATTCACTTTCTCACTGAAACTGCAAAGGATACAACTACAACCCATTATGGACTAGGATAAAGGAGATCCATATTTAAATCTCCATTGATAATCCAGAATCCAGTAACTGTCTTTCAGAGTGCATTGTCACTGAAGAAATAATGCAGTTTGACCTCATTTTAACTGCCATAGCCCCATTCTACAGAATCCTTGGGTCCTATATTTGTAGAAAGGCCAATTTATAAATATAAATTCAAAGATACAGTCAATATACAATAATAAAGCACTAATGAACCAGGGGTTGTTAGGATATGGACAAAATAGCCTCAGCAAGGATAGGAGAGAAGTTCATGCAGTGAATATTTTAAGGCCAACTCACTACATTCTCTCTTTGAAACCAGTACACAGTCAAAGAATCCATTGTCCTCCAAAATATGTACTTTAGATTCATCAGTTTGGTTATCAATCCAGAATTTGGAACAGTTCATTAAAAAAAATACACCTTCCACAATCCCTTACGATTTCTGGGACATATTAGGAGTTATAGTCCTAAAAGGTTACATGTTTAAATGCTACACAATCCCATGAAGGTCTTTGCAGTTCCCATCCTCCCTGCCCTACACAAGACAAGTGACGTATGGATAAGTAACATGTAGCAAAAGCCAAACTATTTTTTTCCCCTGACTTCCATTTCAACCTTATGATTTGCTGTGCCAGCACATCAACTGCTTAGAACAGGGAGTGCCGAAAGCTATGCCAACACAAGGCCACAAAAACCTGACTACTATGTTCAGTCCCAGGCCCCACAGTTTGGAAGTTGACAACAAGTTGGAAATCATTCAATGGAGAGCTGGGAGCAGAACACCACATGGTCTAAAAAGGCAAAGCATTTGAGGTAAAGCTGAGAAATCTGAGTGTGCTTTGCTTAGAGAGGGGAAATTAAGATTAATGGCAGTTTTCATATGCACAACTATGGCTGCAATCCTGCCTCAAGAGAGAGAGCAATGACAGTGTCCCCTTCAAGCACTCCAAACCCACATTTTCTTTGCTACATCTCCCCAAATCCAGCCATTTCCATTCCTCTCTTCCATCACAGGCTTCTTTTTTAAAGAAAAGAAGTGAAACAATTCCATTTTGTCTCAGGCTGGATCCACACTAGCAAAAAAAACAAAGCAAAGCAAAACAAAAAACCTGCGCTCAGCTAAATTCTGGTGCTGTTTGAACACACAACATACAACTGTTTTCACAGTGAAAATGTTTCTTTTAGGCTTTAATGCAATTTAGAAAAACTCACTTTTACTCCAGAGTTTCCAAGAAAAAAAAATCTTTTTCCTGTTGTTGTTGTTTTGCAACGTATGTCCTGCTGAATCGGTGTGGCATCAGGAGGCAGAGTAGTTGGAGGATAGGACAGATTGGTGGGTGGAAAACATTTTGCCAATTTTCTCCCCTGTTTTGGAGTGGATCTGCCCAAAGAAAAAATCCAGCCCCTGGATCATACAGATTCAAATAAAAAGTTTCTTTCTTTCTCACATCAAAGCCCAGGGGTTGCTTTCTCTGTTTCTGAAAAATCCTGGCCATGGGGAACACTTGGAAAGAATGGAGAGCAATGGGTGGATGGAA